CAGACGGCGAGAGCCCCGCGCTGGGCGGCCTCTCCTCGCCGCCGCCGCCCCGCAGAGGCCAGAAATGGGTCCTCTGAGCTTTGCTGTTGCACATGCATGCTTTGCAGAGTAGTGAAATCAGCTGTTAAGGCCATAAATAGGTCTAGGTCTACTGAATTTATGTCTTGCTTCCCAACAAGCATAACCAGAATGCCCTTCAAAATCTAGGGCCATTAATTCAGTGGAATGGAGTGAGAAACCACTATTGGTTGAGCTCTGGTATGGATTTGAAAACAACTCACTTGTGGATGGTACACTGTGTTGCAGTGGAACCTGACTAACCAGAACTTTGAATCCACTCCAAAGGACTTGCCAGGTTACGGTAATTTTATGGTGTCAAAGCAACACAAGAGATTTGTGGTACCTTCAATGTGAACACATTTATTGTGGCATAAGCTTTTTGAGGACTAGAGCTGACTTCAGCAGATGCTTAAAATGCTATTGTTGAGCAGTATGGCAAAGAAAGATGCTAGATTGGTGTGGGGTGTGTGTGTGTTCGTATGTACAAAGATTGGGGCCAAAACTCCATGAAATCCAAGGGGTAGCAGGGGTCTAAAAGACTTGTACACATAGGTCAAATGTACATAGAGGTAAGAACATCTGGGATCCACTATGGTACTTTTCCTGGTTCCATATATTGTGGGATGATGACCTATGGACTAATGACACGCAAGAAAGGAAGCAAGCCAATGTGTTCATTCCAGGATACAGTGGTACCTCAGGTTACAGATGCTTCAGATTACAGACGCTTCAGGTTATAGAGTCCACTCACCCAGAAATAGTACCTTGGGTTAAGAACTTTGCTTCAGGATGAAAACAGAAATTGCACGGCAGTGGCACAGCGGCAGCGGGAGGCCCCATTAGCTAAAGTGGTACCTCAGGTTAAGAACAGTTTCAGGTTAAGAACGGACCTCCAGAACAAATTAAGTTCTTAACCCGAGGTACCACTGTATGCACAAACAGCAGATTAAATGAGGATGTGGGTTTTCTTACCACCAGGAAGTGGGTGTGGGAAGATGTTAGTCTGACAGCACACTCACTATTTCTCATGGAAGCTGACCACCCAACAACCACCACTGGTGGAATTCAGCACAGAAACTTTTAACAGAAGAGTCACGTAGGATCAGGGCTTCTCACAGGAAACTGCTGCCATCTTGTGGTCATTTATTTCCAAGCACCTTTTGACTGTTGTTGGTATCCGTTTGTCTCTGGAGTTTGCCATCGGGGGTGAAGGCAAACTGTTGGAGAGTTACAACACCATCTGTGGCTGTACAGACCAATATAGGGGAGAGATGTTTGTTGCAGCCGGGGCAGATGAAGGCGTCCGCTTTCGCTGGTGCAGATGCACCAGGGAGGTTCTTCTGTGACCGTAATGTGCTGACATTTTCAGATGGATAACTGTCATGGAACGCCGTATACACACCATACCTTTGTAAAGCAAATTGCTTCCCCCAGAGAATCCTAGGAACTGTCATTTGTTAAGGTGTTGGGGATCGTAGCTCTGTGAGAGGAATTTTATTCCATTGTTATTTTAAATGCCCCACGTGGCTTACAAAGAAGAAATGAAAGTGCAACAAAGCACTTGGAAACATAACAAAAAGAAGTGAAAAAATGAATCACGCACGGTGCCATACAAGGAGACATGGAGAGAACACGTGTATTTGGAGACCATGTGTGACCCTTATAAAGGTAAAGGACCCCTGACCATTATGTCCAGTCGTGACCGACTCTGGGGTTGCGGCGCTCATCTCGCTTTATTGGCCGAGGGAGCCAGCGTACAGCTTCCAGGTCATGTGGCCAGCATGACTAAGCCACTTCTGGCGAACCAGAGCAGCGCATGGAAATGCCATTTACCTCCCCGCTGGAGCAGTACCTATTTATCTACCTGCACTTTGACGTGCTTTCGAACTGCTAGGTGCGCAGGAGCTGGGACCGAGCAATGGGAGCTCACCCCGTGGCGGGGATTCGAACCGCCGACCTTCTGATCGGCAAGTCCTAGGCTCTGTGGTGTAACCCACAGCGCCACCCATGTTTCCCTGCCAAAAACATGCTCCCCCAAAGAAGATTCCTAGCTTGGGTCAAACTGAACACTGTCCTCTGTGTGCGCATACATGTGCATCTGAACCCTCCCAGCCTAGAAATGTGCACTCTCACAAAGAGTAGAGGAAAAGAGGATATGTATTATGAAGCTAGTTTTAACAATAGAATGCTATCTATCATCTATCTATCTATCTATCTATCTATCATCTATCATCTATATCATCTATTGATCTAGCTAGCTAGCTATCATCTATCAATCAAGAGAGCTGGGGAGGAGGGAGAGGGAGAGAAAGAGAGAGAGCGCTGGGCAAACATAAAGCAATATTCTAACACATTTCTAACTTAAAGAAAGTTAGAGTGCTAAACTTTAAAGGGAAAATGACATTGAATATAGAGATAGTAACAAAGTTTAGCTCTCTTAGCTGTGGTGAAAAGCCTAATGTTGATAGATATGCCCACTGAACTTCTTTGTACTTGACACCACCATCTTCAAGATCCCTGATGCAGATCTTAACATGTCAGCTGAGTCATGTGCAAAGGGGCAATTGCCTTTAGTTAAAATGTTGCAAATAGTCACTTTCGTTTTCCTTAGGAAAAGAATATAGAGTAGCCATGAACTCATGCAACCTCTGAGTATCTGTAGACTTCACTTTTCCTTCCACTTCAGTCTGACCCTTTGTAAATGTTTTTGGTGTTCATCAGTCGATTTTCAGAGGTTGCAAAGTGACACTCTCGCTTTCTGTTATTCCTCCCATCTGATGTCCTTTTATATAGATAAAAAAGCCACTTTTCTTGCAAGATTCAGCATTTTCATATTATTGTTGTTGCACCCCATGAAAACTCCTTACAAAGTATATTCTTGTGGTTTGTGCCACTTAAGGCATCAAGCCTGATTTGGATCCAATGGCTATACCATCCTGATCAAGTCTGATCAGGCCTGACTGTCCTCCTCTCACCCCATCAACTGCTTTGATCACTGTGAGCAGCCAGGATGCAGATACATTGGTGGCTCTGAGGCTCTGCAAAGCTCCAGATTAGTACTGCAGCCTTAGTGAGTTAATTACGGTACACTGTCATCCTGTCTATGCACGGCAGCTCAGAAATAAGTCCCACTGAGGCCAGTGGGGATTTCTCCAAGGTATTGTAGCCTTACAGGTGAATCCTGTAGAGTCATCATTCTGCACCTCATAAAACTGTACAATTGGCTTGAGGAAGGTTTGCTGTAAATGCTTCTTACTTTCCTAAATTAACAGACCTTTGCTTTCAAATGAATTTGTAATGCCTGTTATTATCACTACTTTGCTATGGTCGGGAGTCAGGAATCTCAGGTCTGTCCATCTGGTCTTCAGCACTCACCCTGGGCTGTCTCTCTCTCTGAGCCACACAATCCTTCTCCCCAGGCCACCCCCCTCACTGACTGTGCTCTATAAACTCTTAGACTGCTTTTGCCTGGCTGGAATGAGTCCTTGAACTGTGATAAAGCAGGTGGGTGTGGGTGTGTAAAAACCCTCTAGGTTTTTGCATGACTGAAATGTAACCTACTGTACATAGGGAAGAGATATATCCATTGCTCCGCCCACTTTTCCCTCTGGCCCCACCCACCGCTAGAATGTGGACCCTGGAAACTTGTTCACAAGGGAATGAGGCCCCTGTCGTAAGTGAAGCTTTAGGGTTGTGGTGATCCCACAGGGTCCCTGGACGTTTGACGGTCTATTGATCCCGGTGCCACCACTGTGATTGCTTCCCGCTGCCACCAACCCATTTCACTCGGGTACACACGGAGTCCAGACAGTTGCTAACATTAAATCAAATAAGCAAGTTTATTTTATAAGCATTAACAAGGTTATGGTTTCAGATCATTTTTCTTGTCAGTTTCTTAATCTTAGTATCTTTACTGACCTATACCTTCCTAATAACTTCTAACTGATTATCCTAACAGTTTCTCTCACTCTCTCACATCAAAACTAAACCAACCCACAGACTTATCCTCCCTCTTCCTTCTCCAACTCCCAACTGACTTCCCAACAACTCCAACTCTACCTCTAACTCCTCCCCTTGGGTTCCCACTGGCCAATCACTTCACACTCATTTAACCCTTTCCTTATGACCCACCTAGGAGGGCAAACGCCACAAGGGTTATTAGGGTTATTAGAGATGCCTATTCTGATGAAGCAAATGAGTCACCACAGGGCAATGTGCACATCAGGAAGTGACATGCATTTGAAACTACGTCCCCAAAAAGACTAAACATCATCAGTACAAGCAAAATTCAACCAGTAATGAAAAGGATGGTGAATTAAGCCAGGGTTTGTTCTGGGAAACTGGTTAGTTCTCAATAAGCTTTGTTACATGCCAATGGAACTGAAGGAAAACGGCAGAGCACGAGAGAAACTGAGAGGTCAGGTTCCTAAAATTGCTAACAGAGAACATGAAAGCCCATTTGGATAGACAAGAAGATGTGGCTTCTCCTTGCCAATCTTTATTTGCATTTCTAAACCACTTAATATTTTAAAGTATCTAAGCAGGATGCAAAAATCCATTTTTAAAAAGGCATTGCTCCATCACAGTGGCATGAAGAACAGGGAAAAGCCACCAGTCAGCTTCCCAAAGCAGTCTGCTGGACCAGCAAGTTAAGCAAAACAAAAACAAAAAAGCTTAATGATGAGAGCCATGTGGGCTGCCCTGAGAAGGATATTCCATAAGGTTGGTGCCACAACTGGAAAGGCTCTGCTGCTTCTGGTCACTTGTCATGCTTCAGTTGGGGAATGAGATGGAAAAGGACCTCAGATGTTGAATGGAGAACATAGGAAAGAGAATGCAGTCCCTGTGACGACCAGGCCCCACCCGGTGTTGGTAATTTTCAATACCAACTTTAAAGTTAACATTTCAAAAATTAATTAATAGACCACAGTAGCCACCAGACCTATGAAAGTGGCCTGTTTTCATTGGTTTCTTTATTCTGCAACAAACAGACCTACATTTTTCATAGTATTAAAGTAATGAAATCAAATGTTATCTAACAAATGTGGGAGGGCATGGAATTTACAGTGTTCCAACTATCTTGGAGTCTCTCATTCAGTCATATTAAATACTCACACTGTGGAAGGAAGAAAACAAGGACTTTTGGTGAGGAAATACTCTTTCAGTGTTTTTTCAGATACTTTCTTCTATCACCTGATCCGAGGACATGTTCTCCATTTTAGATGTGTCTGGTTCTTGTTTCAGGCAGAAGACATGGGTTTTCAAAATCAGGATATACATTTTTCGGAACCTTTTGATCCTCAAGGCATACACAATGGGATTTAGGGAAGAATTGGCATGGGAGAGCAGGATGGCCACATCTAACATCGGCAGGGGAACACGACATGTTTGGCAGAAATGTGAGATGGAGTTGATAATGAGCAGAGGCAGCCAGCACACAATGAACAAGAAGAGGACCAGAGCCAAAGATTTGATCATCTTGAACTCCCTCCCATAAAGGATCCGTGTTCCTTTCATGGATGTTGTGTTTTGTTTCAGCTTTGTTTGGAGGATGTTGAAGATCTCGGAGTAGAGAGCACACATGACCAGCAGTGGGACAAGGATCCAGGAGAAGAAGCTGAAGTACACCACGTAATCCATGCTCATCACCTTTGGGTAAGAACACTTCAAGTAGATGGGGTTTTCAGGCTTCCTTAGGTTCCATCCAATCATGGGCACAAGCCCCACCAACAGAGACGTGATCCAGCAGAAACTCAGAGCCGCCCAGATTCTTCTCCGTGTGACCATTGCTTTGTATCTATTTGAAAAAGCAGGTTAGTTTAAAATATTTTACAGATGGGATTGTGCTTGCAGCACCGCCCCTATACTATGATTTGTCACAGTCTTTTTCATTTTCTGCAGGCTGGGAGAAAGCACAAGGAGCATTACAGGTGCTACAACATTATTTTGGTGCATGGAATATATTGTATCTTTTCCAATGAAAATCCACAGCCATGACTTCGTGGTACTCACCGTATGGCCAGTTTCACTCTCAGATATCGGTCTGTTGCAATGGCGAGCAGGGACATGATGGAAGCGTGACAAAAGATCATCAAGATGCAGCAGATGAAAAGGCAAGCGTAGAAGTGGAGAACAACCTCCAACCTCAGCACAACGGCCAGAGGGGCAACAAGGACCCCAACGGCAATATCAGCCAGTGCCAAGGACACGATGAAGTAAAAAGTGGTGTTCTGGTAGGCTGGGATCCGTCTCACCACGCAGATCACTAGAGCATTTCCTAAGGTGGCAGTCACTGCTATCAGCACCTCAACGATGATGTAGACAATGTGCAAAGTATTCATGGACAAGCTTCTCTCGGTCCTCTTCAACTTTGAGTTATGGTGCCCTCACAGAGCAAGAGCCCAATGTAGAAGAGGTGGAATCTAAGGCTTTCCCTGCTAACCGGCCTTTTAAAAAAAAACTTTTCCCGATACCATGTAGAATTGCAGAAGTTAAGTAAGCTGTTCTCTTGTACTCTGTCTCTCAAAGAGCAGCTCTCATGCGGGAACCCACAGAGAAAAATAGTTCCTGTTAATGCTTCACACATTCCAACCTGCTTTGGCAAGTTGCTATGAAACAAAACAAAAAAACCCCATATTTGAAGTATTGATAAGAAACTGAATACTGGCACAAGCCGTTGTGTGTGTGTGTGTGTGTGTGTGTGTGTGTGTGTGTGTGTGTCTGAAGGTCTGTACTTTAAATAAAGATAATACAGGAAATGAAAATCTGTAAGTTAAAGAAATCATTTAACTTTATCAATAGGTTTCCTGAAGCTTCTGATAGCATCTCATGCTTGATAAGGATGGCATTTTGATCGCTTTTCATGACAGGTTCCTAGGCACCCTCTATTACGTTGGTTACTAAGAAGTTTTCAAAAACATCTTATTTTAACAACTTCCATGAAATGTAGCAATAAAGGGGTGAGGTAACTTTAGGAAACAATGTAGTAACATCCAACCTGACAGGAAGCTACAAACTTGGTTTTTATGTGAAAGAAATATTTAAGAGGAAGTTAAAACATTTAAGTGTCAGGACATAAATGTGCCCTTTACATTGAGGCACCAGGTGAAAACATTCCTTTTCAACCAGGCCTTCACTTGCCAATCAATCTATAGCCTTTTAAAGTGAGGAGCGATGGGTTATTGCCTTTTTATTATGTGTTCTATGTTATAAACTTTCTTGTGGTCTCTTGATGAAGGGTGGTATATAAATTTAACAAATGAAAATAAATAAAAGCGGCAACAATGGGCAGTAGATTCCAAAGAAGGCCCCATACTTCTGTCTCCAACTTGATATTCCTGCCACCCAGTTACAGTGGCACCTCTAGTTACAAACTTAATTCATTCCGGAGGTCCGTTCTTAACCTGAAACTGTTCTTAACTAGAGGCGTGCTTTCGCTAATGGGGCCTCTTGCTGCTGCTGCGCCGCCGGCGCACGATTTCTGTTCTCATCCTGGGGCAAAGTACTCAACTCGAGGTAACTCTTCCAGGCTAGCAGAGTTTGTAACCTGAAGCGTTTGTAACCTGAGGCAGTTGTAAGCAGAGGTTCTACCAGTGGTACCTTGGTTTACAAATTTAATCCGTTCTGGAAGTCCGTTCTTAAACCGAAACATTCTTAAGCCAAGGTGTGCTTTCCCATAGCAGCGGGGGACTCAATTTACAAATGGAATACACTCAACAGGAAGCGGAGCATGTTCTTATTCCAAGGCAAAGTTCACAAACCAAAACACCTACTTCCGGGTTTGCAGCGTTCTTAATCCAGTTGTCCATAAACCAAGCTGTTCTTAAACCAAGGTACCAACGTACAAAGGCTGATACTGCTAGTCCCAATGCAACATCAGTATAGCAACAGGAAATCCTAAACCAGCAAGCACTAAACTTCTGCTATTCTGTTCTCCATTTCCACATGTGGAATCTAGGTCATATATGCACGGAGAGCTGGCTAGCAAGTAAGGTCCGTATCTCCACTCAACCACATAGGCCAAGTTTGAACCACCTGTCAACCACCTGACATCATGATGGCACCAGTGGCCATTTTTGCAGTACTTCACTAGTGTTGACTATCAGCTGATTGCTGGTATTAGGGAAGTCCTGTGTACATGCTTCTCAAACACCAGCTCTAAGCCAATGGGAAGCACTGGGTATGGGGCTTTGCAGACAGCGTCAATCAGCTGCTTGGTGGTGTTTACACAACCCCTTTCATCCAAACCATGTCTTTACCTGCCCAACACCTGCTGGCATATATGAAGTCAAGTGCAGGGCAGGTGCTTGTGACTTGGCCAAAACAGCCTTGTGAGGCAAATAGGGAGCCCTAATGGCTGTAATTAGACTCACAGGCCAGAGATTCCCCTCACCTACATTCAAGATCAATAATAAAAATGGGTTTCAGCCTCCATCCTAGCAAATGGGGGGTGGCTCACATCTCAGCTTGTCCAGTGTTTCCATTTAAAGAGGTCTGCAGCACTAACATATTCTCCTTTCTGAGAGAAAGGAGGACCTAACATATCAGGTGAGGGTCAACTAAGTTTTACTCAGAGGAGACCTTCTGAAATTAATCAACATGACTTAAATTAGAACCATTAATTGCAACTGGTCTTCCCTGAGTAAAATTTAATTGAATATTACCCATTGCTTTCACACATACCCCACAAGCCTCTAGTCACTCCAAATCCTTTTAGATACAAATCTGATTAATTTTTAATGCGATTAAAATGCTTCCCTAAAATGCAAATGCATGTTGATCGCAATAAGAATCCAAAGGAACGCATGACAAGTACAATTTTGATCAATGTACAGTGGTACCTTGGTTTTCAAGCATCTCGGAAGCTGAACAATTTGGAACCCGGACGCCGAAGGCCCAGAAGTAATTGCTTCCGTTTTCAAACGCACCTCAGAAGTTGAACAGCTTCTTCTGCGTGTTGTTGTATTTTTTCCATTTACTTTGCCGATTGCCCTTTGTGCCTCAGTTGTCGAACGTTTCGGAAGTTGAACAGTCTTCCGGAATGGATTGCGTATGACAACCGAGGTACCACTGTACATGAATCCAGAGAAAATAAACGAATGCTTAGAAATGACCACTGATTATCTTCAGAGGCCCTCCCAGTTTGTTGCAACTTGCAGGTGTGCAACTGTCAACATCCAGGAAAAGAGCCTTCTCTGTGGTGGCTCCCATACTCTGGAATATCCCACACCCAGGAAAAAAAAGGCATGTATCAACTACATTGTTAAGTTTAATGCATGCTAAAAACTTTTTTGTTTAACTTGGCTTTTGCTGGTTCATGATGCCTGCTATGGTTTTAAGTCTGACTACTGGTAATTTTTTGGTTCCAATAATATTGGGCGGTATCCAACTAACTCGTTTCATCAGTGCAAGGATTTCTGCTTGCCTGCTTGAACCTCCTGACATTCTTTCCCCCTGTGAGCCCCCAAAATCTATTCTGGGTATTTCTCTAACTCTCTGGAGTGGATTTGGGGAGGGCACAGGGTGCATGCTGGGATAGGAAGTGGGGAAGTTCTGTTGCACAAGCAAATCCTTGTGCTGATGAAATGAGTTGCATACAATCCCTTGTATTTTGTTTTATTATTAATATGCAGTGTCTGAAGATGATATATTAATATTTTAAACAATCGCCTGCAATGCAAACAGCTAATTTGAACAAATAATATAGTCTGTCTCCCTCTCTTAGCATGGTAGCTATCGGCAAGGAATGCAATGGTTACAAATATTAGCGAACTAAATAAAAAATTAAGGAAAACAAAATAATACTATTAAAATTCAGGTTTTGCCAAGTTAACTGTACTTATTAATTTTAAGTTTTCCCAAGCACACACAATCCTGATTTTGTGCACAGTTATCATCTTCAAAGATCATTAGGTACTGGTTTCCCTATTCTTGTTGATGGGGGTTGCTAGTATTTATATTGTGTTTTCTAATCTTAAAATCATGGTTCCTTAGATAGTGGTTAAAATATTTCTAGTAAATGCGTGTATTTATAGAGGCTGAGGTTAGCTGTTCTTACAGTCTTCCTCTGTGTCTACAGTTGCTTGGTTATCTGCTTGCACTCTCTTGCAAGATCACAAAACGAATACTAGACAACTCTGAAAAATACCTCCTCAAAGTTACTATGTCAAGGTTATAGGGCTTCAGTTTCCAACCAATACCCTGCCCCGCCCCAAGGTAATGCTAAATGTCACTCCCGTTAACAGCCAAGGAGAAACCTGAGTGTATACAGGATGCCATGATTCTAGGGAACAAGAACCAAAGTTCCCACTCTCTTCTTCCTGAAGCCTCAAGCAAGATAAACAACTATGACCAAAGAGAACTGAGGTGTTCTTTAGACCAAGGCTTTGCCCAAATAGCCACACAGAAGTAACAAATATATGTTTTATTGAGACTACTAAAAGAGCAGCATAGTAAGAACCCTGTTACCAAATAAAACAAAAAGAAGACCAATTCAGAATTTAGGAAGATTTGGGAAACTACATACACACAAAAATAACAAAGTCTAACTTAGCCTAAACTAGAATACTTTATCAACACCATTTGACACCCTGAGGCAGAGGTTCCCAAACTTATTTGGCCTACTACCCCCTTTTCAGAAAATAATCACCATTCTCCAGGAAATCCACCTTCTTTAAGCAAACAGAAAGATGCAGTGACAAATTTGTGTTCTTTAATGTATTTATATTTCCACCTACACCCCACAACATAGTAAAGAAATATGTTGTTGTAAATAAGACTATTTATTAAACTCAACCATAGTGACATTTGCATTACACACAGAAAATTGCAGAGAACTGATTGATCAAAAAGCAGAATATTGACCAAAATGTCTCCAGAAAATGCAAGTGGAAAAAGAAAGAGTGTGTGGTTAGGACAGCTAGAAAATTGGGAAGAGGTGTGTGTGTGTGTGTGTGTGTGTGTGTGAGAGAGAGAGAGAGAGAGAGAGAGAGAGAGAGAGAGAGAGAGAGAGAGAGAACACAGTGGTTTGCAGTTTGGAAGATGCTGAGGCAGAGAGTGAGCTAACTGAAGGCACCTTGAGGGTGCAGAGTCTCTCTTTAAGGACCTGGTAGGGTAGTAAATTTGTGGCCTTGTAGGAATGCCTCTTTCCTGCAATTTATGCTCCACTTCAAGGATAGGGAACCCTTTTCAGTCCAAAAGCCATTCTTTTGGGCAACCTTCTGAGGTCAAGGCCAGATGCAAAAGTAGTCAGAAGCATGAATGGAATTTTATCTTTGTAAGAGTAGGCTAATTTCTGCACACACTGAAGCATTCCTCTCACGGCCTGTGTCCGTGCAGGTTTTTTTGTTTTTGTCCTGGCACTTTCCCCAAGAAAACCTGTATTTTACTGCTGAATTGGAGAAAACAGCAATCCTTGGAAAACCTCTATCTGACGGCAGGAAGAGAAGCCTACAGGGCTGGATTTGGCCCCAAGACCTGAGGTTACCCACCACTGTCCACTCTGCTTGTATACAGTCGTACCTTGGAAGTCGAATGCCTTGCGACTCAAATGTTTTGGCTCCCAAACACCGCAAACCCAGAAGTGATTGTTCTGGTTTGCGAACGTACTTTGGAACCTGAACATCCGATGCAGCTTCCATAGCTTCCGATTGACTGCAGGACCTTCCTGCAACCAAATGGAAGCCGCACCTTGGTTTCCGAACATTTTGGAAGTCAAACAGACTTCCTGAACAGATTTCATTTGACCTCCGAGGTATGACTGCATTACAAAGTCACCATCCATCTCCAGTGGTCTCTCTCGTTCAGAAGTGACTAGAAGGGCTACCTTTGGAATGTCTCACCACTCAAGGAAATTGTGAGTGTCCAATAATATTTTTATCAGAAGAAGAAGAAGAAGAAGAAGAAGAAGAAGAAGAAGAAGAAGAGCAATATGTGAAGCCACAAAACACAAGAGGTACAGTCTGCAGTATTTCTATGCAAAGCTCAAATGCATATAAAATTAACATCTCTGGTGCCACCTAACTCTCATCAGACGTTATGGGGTGGAAGCTAAAACTACATCCAGGTGCGTCAAATTAGAGTTTAAGAGCATTTTTTCCCCTGGGAAAGGAGTGGAGCAAGGGAAACTTGCCTGGGCTGTGCTTTTTAGGCACGAGACAATAATAATAATAATAATAATAATAATAATAATAATAATAATAATAATAATAATTTATTATTTGTACCCCGCCCATCTGGCTGGGTTTCCCCAGCCACTCTGGGCGGCTTCCATAGAAACCAAAGATACAGTAAAATATCACAGATTAAAAACTTCCCTGAACAGGGCTGCCTTAAGATGTCTTCTGAATGTCAGGTAGTTATTTATCACTTTGACATCTGATGGGAGGGCGTTCCACAGGGCGGGCGCCACTACCGAGAAGGCCCTCTGCCTGGTTCCCTGTAGCTTTGCTTCTTGCAATGAGGGAACCACCAGAAGGCCCTCGGCGCTGGACCTCAGCATCTGGGCAGAACGATGGGGGTGGAGACGCTCCTTCAGGTATACTGGACCGAGGCCGTTTAGGGCTTTAAAGGTCAGCACCAACACTTTGAATTGTGCTCGGAAACGTACTGGGAGCCAATGTAGGTCTTTCAAGACCGGTGTTATGTGGTCTCGGCGGCCGCCCCCAGTCACCAGTCTAGCTGCTGCATTCTGGATTAGTTGTCTAGCTGCCGCATTCTGGATTAGTTGTAGTTTCCGAGTCACCTTCAAAGGTAGCCCCACGTAGAGCGCATTGCAGTAGTCCAAGCGGGAGATAACTAGAGCATGCACCACTCTGGTGAGACAGTCCGCGGGCAGGTAGGGTCTCAGCCTGCGTACCAGGTGGAGTTGTTAGACAGCTGCCCTGGATACAGAATTGACCTGCGCCTCCATGGACAGCTGTGAGTCCAAAATGACTCCCAGGCTGCGCACCTGGTCCTTCAGGGGCACAGTTACCCTATTCAGGACCAGGGAGTCCTCCACACGAGCCCTCCCCCTGTCCCCCAAAAACAGTACTTCTGTCTTGTCAGGATTCAACTTCAATCCATTAACCGCCATCCATCCTCCAACCGCCTCCAGGCACTCACACAGGACCTTCACTGCCTTCACTGGTTCTGATTTGAAAGAGAGGTAGAGCTGGGTATCATCTGCATATTGATGGACACCCAGTCCAAACCCCCTGATGATCTCCCCCAGCGGCTTCATATAGATGTTAAAAAGCATGGGGGAGAGGACAGAACCCTGAGGCACCCCACAAGTGAGAGCCCAGGGGTCTCCACCACTTTCTGAACACGGCCCAGGAGGAAGGAGCGGAACCACTGTATGACAGTGCCCCCAGCTCCCAGCCCCTCTAGACGGTCCAGAAGGATGTTATGGTCGATGGTGTCAAAGGCCGCTGAGAGATCCAGCAGAACTAGGAAACAGCTCTCACCTTTGTCCCTAGCCCGCTGGAGATCATCAACCAGCGCGACCAAGGCAGTTTCAGTCCCATGATGAGGCCTGAATCCCGATTGGAAGGGTTCCAAATGGTCCGCATCCTCCAGGCATGCCACGCGCTCAATCACCTTGCCCAAGAATGGAAGATTTGAGACTGGGCGATAGTTGGCCATACTGGCCGGGTCTAAAGATGGTTTTTTAAGAAGCGGTTTAACGACCGCCTCTTTCAGCGGATCTGGGAATGTTCCCTCACAGAGGGAAGCATTCACCACCCCGCAGAGCCCATCGCCCAGCCATTCCCGGCTTGCTTTTATTAGCCAGGATGGGCAAGGATCAAGGAGACAGGTGGTTGGTTTCACGCGTCCAAGCAGCCTGTCCACATCCTCGGGGGTAACGGCAAGTGGAAGGGCAGACAGGCCCGTACTGACAACACAGTCTCAGGGATCAAGTAGCTGTCAATGATTTCACAGGGATGTGGGTAAATGATTGCAGCTAAATACATTAACCTAAATCAGTCGTGAGGAACCTCTGGCCCTCCAGATGTTGCTGAATTTCAAATCCCCTCAGCCTCAGCAAGCATAGCCAGTGGCCAGGTAGTTCAGCAACTTCTGGTAGACCAAAGATTCCCCACACCTGCACTACATTAAGCTTTCTAGTTGGTGTCAGGTGTATCTGCCCCAGCAGGTAATGGAGGAAACGCAGTAGGAAACAGACATTGCATCCTCCATAGCTATCATGGGCAAGCCAGGGCGGAAATGAGATTGGCAAGTTTGACTAGAGCTTCAGCGGAGTCCTTTGCTATGCAGTGTGCTTGAAAGTTTCTATATGTTAATATCTAATATTTGTATCTATATGTGTTTTTTAAAAAAATATATATGAGGAAACCAGAATAAAATAAGGCCATCCCTGCCATCCTTTAGCCATGCCAAGCCTTCAAGACCACAGAGGAGATCAGAGTCCGAAAGCAAAGTGTAACTTCCTTTTCAAAGATTCAGTTCCTAAGAATTAGAAAGTGCTTATCTGCGGACAATTGTGGCAAGTGGTTCTGAGTCATTTCTGACAGTAAACAATGCTATGGGGTGCTCTGCTGCTGCTCCCTCATGAAACTGCAACTGCAGCCAGCTGTCAGAATTATTTTGGCTGTGCTTCAGAAGAAGGCTCCCACCTATTCATCCTGGACTCTCTTCACCTCGAGGGGAAAGCGTCTTGGTTCCCGAGATGCTTAAGCCTGCGCAAGGAGTTTACATTGCCTTCGAGGCTGTGATTGCAGTGCTGGCTATCCTGGGCAATGTTCTGGTCATTTGGGTCGTGAAGCTAAACCCAGCCTTTCAGAAGACCACCTTCTACTTTGTTATCTCGCTGGCCCTGGCTGATATTGGTGTTGGCCTCGTCATGCCACTGGCTATCGTAGTCAGCTTAGAAATCGAGATCCACTATTACGCCTGTCTTTTCATGTGTTGTCAACTCATGATTTTTACTCAGGCCTCCATCCTGTCCTTGCTCGCCATAGCAATCGACAGATATCTGAGATTACGGCTGCTTACTCGGTGAGTTCTACTTCGTCAGTGACTTATTTCTCGGGGGTAGTTTGCACACTACTGTTTAAATGCTTGGGTGATATAGAAGCAAGAGATTTTAAGGACTAATGGAAGTTGCCTTGCACTGAATCAGATTGTTGGTCTCAGTATTGCTTGCACTGACTGGCCGTGGCTCACCAGAGTTTCAGACTTGGGTTCTCTGCCAGCCCAACTTGAAGATGCTGTGTATTGAATCTGGCACCTGGTGTGTGGAAAGCAGAAGCAATTCCATGGAGCTGCTGGCCTTCCCCCTGGTTTGTCTTTTGTGTTCCACCTGCTTTTTGCGGATGACTGCTGATTTTTCAGCTGGGTTAAATATATATACAGTGGTACCTCGGGTTACAGATGCTTCAGGTTACAGATACTTCAGGTTACAGACTCCGCTAACCCAGAAATAGTACCTCGGGTTAAGAACTTAACTTCAGGACGAGAAATCGCATGGTGGCGGCGGCGGGAGGCCCCATTAGCTAAAGTGGTGCTTCAGGTTAAGAACAGTTTCAGGTTAAGAACGGACCTCCAGAACGAATAAAGTTCTTAACCCTATGCTCCTTCAAAACAGTTCTAAAATCAACATACAGAGGTGATTTTAGAACTCTTTTGAAGGAGCATAGTTTTTAACTCTTCAGCTTGGCTTTAAATTAAATAATATGAATACTGTTGCCAATATAAGAATCTTGTTCAAAAGGGCGCCATAACTTTCATTTCTGTTTAGCAGTTCCCCATATGATAGAACGCTTATGCATTTTGTTTAATTTGCCATGCAAAGCATAGTGTAGCCTGAGGTTTTAAGCAAACAGTGATGCAAATTTAGCAAAAAGCAAACATTTGCAATTGTACCATTCAGAAAATTTCTAAAAATAAAAAAGGCATGAGAAATATGATGCATAGCATGCATGGTTGCATTGGAAATAACCAAGTCATGCTCAGACAGAATATGCAATTCCTTTGGGTTGTTAATATATATATATATAAAATCCATCACTTCCAATAGAGATTAATGGTTACATTCAGATATACAGCCCTCCACAATTATTTATATGAAGACAAATATATCTAGCATTCCAATAGTTCTATAAAGGATAGGGTTCCGGTTAGTTTCCAGTTTAAGGAATAATTCCAAAGAATCTTTATCCAATTTCCTGGTAAAGCGTTTGAAACAGAGGAAGTTGCTTTATACTGAGTCAGACCATTGGTTATCTAGTTCAGCACTGTCCTCACTGACTGGCAGCAGCTGTCCAGGTTTTCAGGTGGCCGTCTTTCTCTCTGGAGATGCCAGAGATTGAACCTGGGACCCCTGCGTGCAGATTTCCTACCACTGAGCTACAACCCTTTGGTCCAGAACTTCTCTGTGTCAGCTTTTCCATTAATGCCAATATTTTTCAGTCCTCTTCAAGCCAGTCAGTTGTTTTAAGCTGTCTATTCGCTCTTGGACGCGGGTGGCGCTGTGGGTAAAAGCCTCAGCGCCTAGGGCTTGCCGATCGAAAGGTCGGTGGTTCGAATCCTCGCGGCGGGGTGCGCTCCCGTTGTTCGGTCCCAGCGCCTGCCAACCTAGCAGTTCGAAAGCACTCCCGGGTGCAAGTAGATAAATAGGGACCGCTTACTAGCGGGAAGGTAAATGGCGTTTCCGTGTGCGGCTCTGGCTCGCCAGAGCAGCGATGTCACGCTGGCCATGTGACCCGGAAGTGTCTGCGGACAGCGCTGGCCCCCGGCCTCTTGAGTGAGATGGGTGCACAACCCTAGAGTCTGTCAAGACTGGCCCGTATGGGCAGGGGTACCTTTACCTTTACCTTCATTCGCTCTTTCCTTTCAATAATTTCTGCAACCAACAGTAAGATTCTCTGATCAGCTCCCCCTGGATCTATAATAATAATAATAATAATAATAATAATAATAATAATAATAATAATATATTTATACCCCACCCATCTGGCCAGAAAAATATTAAAAATATAATATTAAAAGCTTCCCTAAACAGGGCTGCCTTCAGATGTCTTCTAAAAGTCAGAGAGTTGTTTATTTCTTTGACATCTGATGGGAGGGCATTCCACAGGGCGGGTGCCACTACCGAGAAGGCCCTCTCTTACAGTTCTCAAAAATATTCAGAAAAAAATATTTAGAAAAAATTAATCAGCAGTTGACTTGACTACTGACATGTTACCACTATGGTTTTGATGCCCTATGCCTAGAAATGCATTCAATGTTTAGTCTGCTTCGACCCCTAAGATATCCAGGAGCAGGAAGGAAGCAAGCTGCTTTCTTTATCACAAGGCTGGAAGGAATCCTGGTAGATTCCTATACAGTGGTACCTCTGGTTGCCAACACCTCTGGTTGAGCACGCTGTGGGTTATGAGCTCCAGTAACCTGGAAGTAGTCGCTCCCGGTTGCAAACTTTGCCCTGGGATCGAGTGGAAATTGCACACCGGAGGCGTATGCAGCTAATGGCACCTCAGGTTATGAGCGGTTTCTGGTTATGTATGGACCTCCGGAACGGATTCCGTTTGTAACCAAAGGTACCACTGTAATGGAATTGGGAATGCTACTTCAACCATCGGTGACTTTACACATCTTGTAAATACTGAGCTAGATGGACCAATGGTCTAACTTGAGGTAGGGCAGCTTGCTACCTGTGCCTAGGTTTTATCACACAGCTACCTATTTGCCTCTTCCTCCTCATCCATTTTTTGCCACCCCTGAAGTAGACCACTTCATTGTTTATAATGAGGCATTGTCATTGTGTAAAAGCAGTAAGTGAGCCAGAATAGAAAGGGCACTCCTGAGTAATAGAAGGCTCCTTGGCAGAAGGGCAGGATATAAATTTAATAAACAAGTAAAATATAATAATAATAAAGTGGTCTGAAATCTTCCTGTGTGGAAGGAATCTTTCCATGGCTAAGATCTTCTCTTAATACAGTGGTACCTTGGTTCTCAAACACCTTAGTTCTCAAACAACTTGGAACCCAAACACTGCAAACCCGGAGGTAAGTGTTCTGGTTTGTGGACTTTTTTCAGAAGCCAAACGTGCTCCGTTTTGAGTGTTACGCTTCTGATTTGAGTGCCACACTTCCGTTTTGAGTGTTACGCTGAGGTCTGTTTTTGCTATTTATTTTGCGTTTTTGTTTTTGCAGCTGTGTGTGTGTGTGTGTGTGTGTGTGTGAGAGAGAGAGAGAGAGAGAGAGAGAGAGAGAGACTGACTCTGTGGAACCCAGTTCAGCTACTGATTGATTGTATGACTGCAGTACATTGTTTATTGCTTTCATTTTATGGATCAATGGTCTTGTTAGACAGTAAAATTCATGTTAAATTTCTGTTTTAGGGGTTGTTTTTAAAAGTCTGAAATGGATTAATCCATTTTGCATTACTTTCTATGGGAAAGCCCGCCTTGGTTTTGGAACGGACTTCCAGAACCGACTAATTTTGAGAACGAAGGTACCACTGTAGTCCTGCTTTGGGATGACACAATGCAAGATCTGTTGCATTTTTGTTGTTGTTGTTAAGTACAGTGGAACCTGGTGTTATGTACCGTCCTCCTTACGAATGCTTTGGGTAACGAGCTCCTCTAACTTGGAAGTAGATGCCCCTTATTGCGAACTTTGCCCCAGAATGCGAGTGGAAGTCACGTGCCAGCGGCATGGCAGCAGCGGGAAGCCCCATTAGCAAAAGCGCGACTCATGTTAAGAACGGTTTCAGCTTAAGGACGGACCTCTGGAAAGAATTAAGTTCATAACCGGAGGTACCACTGTATTGGTATTTATTGAAAACCAAGTTAGTATATGCAAAATGCTCCAGATCAGCAAAATGCTGCCAATAAATTCAGCCGGATAGTCTCACATTTTATACAGCTTGCCCTTAAAAACCCCCAGTAACAATAAAAAGGAAACAAAAGAAAAACGGCACAATTAAAGCAAAAAGGGGGGCGCTATCAGGAAATAAGACTACCAACATTAGAATCTCTTGCACATTTGATGCGAGTTTGTTTTTCTCTCCTCAAAACAGGTATAGGATTCAAAGCAGTCAGAAAAAAATCCGTTGGGCTCTGGCAGCAATCTGGCTCTTGTCGCTGCTGGTGGGATTTGTTCCGTTTGGATGGGCAGAACCAAAACCAGAAAACTCTGATTTCATTAACTGTACCTTCACAAATGTGATAAAAATGGACTACATGATATACTTGAGCTTCTTTGCCGGAACCCTCATCCCACTGATTGTCATGTGCATCCTTTATGCAAAGATCTTCTGCCTCATCCGCACAAAGCTGCAGCCCTGTTCAATGAATGTCAACGGGCAAAGGTCATTTTATAGGCAGGAGTTCAGAACAGCCAAGTCATTGGCCCTGGTCCTCTTCTTATTTGCTGTTTGTTGGCTGCCACTGTGCATTCTGAACTGCATCGAGCATTTGGTCAAACGACCAAACCCACCTCTCACATACGTGGGAATCCTTCTCACACATTCCAACTCAGTCATGAATCCCATCGTCTACACTTTCAGGATAAAGAAGTTCCGGGAAACTTGCACCCAGATTTTAAGAACCTGTATCGCGCACAAGGATTCGGAAGATGCTACATCGCCCAGTCCAACTACATCTGAACACTCATAGCTGCCTCATGCAGATGAAGACCATTGGCCTTGTCTAGCTTTATGTCTTCTGCCCTAAGATACAATAAAGTTACTGACAGGGGAGCTATTGCTTCCCGAGACTTTATGTAACAGTTGTTTTGGTCTGAAGCAGTCAAGAGAACTTTTCAGAAACAAACTCTACCCCTTGTTAATGCCTGCTGTTCACTGCTGTAGCATCCAGTAACACAGCTGGCAGTCCGAGGTTCTGTCAACCTACATCTGCTGTGTTTTGGTTCTACATATACATTTTGGCCGAGCAAGCCGTCAAAGATGTGCCAGTATTGGCATAGTGTGTCAAATGTACATATTCAATAAACCATTTCCAATCTTTTATAAAGTTTGTCATGATTTCTTATTTTTCCAGTAAGTTTCACCATTTCTGCATATTCCATGAGGTTTTGTATCCAATCTTCTTTTGTCGGGACTTCTTATTTTGGGCAAATAACATTCTTGCCACTGTAGTTGCATACATGAATAAATTCCTATACTCTTTAGGTAGTTCTACCCCTAGAATTCCCAGGAGGAAAGCTTCTGGTTGTTTTTTTTTACAATGTACTGAGACCCTGGTGCAAAAGTAGTTCTGATCACAGACCATCAAGATAGCATATCTGAGAGGGGCCTACTCTTCCTAGATGCAGAATGTGTGCACATGTTGATGTTGGGTGTGATCCTCACCAATCTGAACCTTCTAAGGATTTCTACAGGAAAATATTTTATGCAATCATCAAGAATACCAACGGCAGTTTACATAATCACTTTCCTTCATATGTGTACCAACATACGAGCATAGGGGATGATGTATGATGACAGCATACATGTTCTAAGCTTATAGAAAACTGATTTGGATGCTATCAGATTACAGCTTCATGATAATATGCTGATGGGTATCACCAGGGAGCAGATCAGAATGTGGTTGATCTTCTCAGTGGGGAACAAGGAAACATCTGCATGAGCTACTGTAAGCAATAGATTATCGGAGTAAGCCTTACCCCACAGGTGTCCTCCTGTACGTAAGAAAGGCCATTATTGTGCCTTCGTAGAATAAAGACCTCTTTACCAATAATCACATGGCACTTCTTCATGGACATAAAGAGATCTTTAGGAAATTAATGTTAAAACTAGTAAGTTCATTCCAAGAGCACCAATCAGAAGAACTACGTTCAGCGTGGAGTAAGTCTATAACGATGTTTAAGTGCAAGATTGTTTGCATTGCTCCAACATAACCAGAGGGTCGTGCATAGATGAGATACGTTTAAGGCAATAGGTAGTGAAAATACAGGTTTTTCACTAATCATAGAAATGAATGCTGCACTAAGGGAAATTGGGTATAGGTTAGGGTTGCCATATGTCCAGGAAATCCCAGACGTCCTCTTTTGGGGGGCCAACATACCCATCTGGGGGGATTTTTACATTTCAAAGGAGATGTCTGGGTTTGGAGATTTTTTCGGGGGGGGGGGGTGGCGGCGGCTTGGGCACCTCTGCACGCCACAGCTGCTGCCAGCCCAAGCTGCGGAAAGAGGCATGCATGAGTGGGGGCAGCCCCGCATGCCCGTTTCCCTGGCTTGGACTGGCAGCAGCTCAGGCTGTCCTCTTTTTTGCTCTTCAAGATATGAAACCCTAGTATTGGGAAGGATACAGAAGTTGGGAAGATATGAGGGAGGGTGAAGATGCTTGTAAGAGCAAGGGAAGAAGAAACAGATTGTTGTTTTAAAATTAAAAAGTGTTTGCATTGTTAATTCAAAGTGAAAAGTTGTATTTCAGCTTATTGTCTTTTTCTACCTGCTACTTAAACCAAGTTGTACAGTGTTGCAGAGTGACACGAGCCAAAACATAGTTTCATTCATTCTACCTCTTGCCATTAGTTGCTCAAATTATATACACTTTCCTGATTATTTCTATGTGAGAGTTAAACTGGAGTTAATGGAACACCCTAAATAAATTTAACTCCGAAGCTGTCAGAGAGAAAGCCCAACAAAAAGGTTTGTATGTTTTAATTAAGATTTGCCATCATATGGTTTAAGAGGTCATAATTGTGTTTAAACAGTTGCCTGTGCAGACTTTGACAATGCCTTCAGGTCCAAGATGCACTTAGCAATGCTCTCCTTCTCCTGCAATACAGAAACAAATGAATGCTTTAAGAAACTTGGAACGGAAAAAGCTTCATGGAGAATGACACGAGCAATTTTATTTGAAATCATACCACACTGAAACGATATGCTATACCTAACAGATTATTTCATAACTCAGTATTTAGTCCCTTCTTTAGAATCAAGATTAAAATTGTGCAGGAATAAAAAGCTTGAGACCCAGGCACCTACTTAGGCTAGACATAATATCACACAAAAAAAAGGGTGAGAGCGCAGCTACGTTTTTAAAATAATGCTTTAGGGCCCATAAAGGCAAAAAATAAATTAAGGACCAACCCCGATGTTTGACAAGATCTGAATGCACACCCAATCCTCCCCAGTCCAAAAAAGCTACCAATCCTATGATTAGTACAAGTCTCACATAGACTGTTATCGAGGAACAAGATTCGCCTCTGTCCCTTTCCTTTAGGGACACTGAGATTAGAAGAAGAGAAGAGTTTGGATTTGATATCCCGCCTTCACTCCCTTTAAGGAGTCTCAAAGCGGCTAACATTCTCCTTTCCCTTCCTCCCCCACAACAAACACTCTGTGAGGTGAGTGGGGCTGAGAGACTTCAAAGAAGTGTGACTGGCCCAAGGTCACCCAGCAGCTGCATGTGGAGGAGCGGAGACGCGAACCCGGTTCCCCAGATTACGGGACTACCGCTCTTAACCACTACACCACACTGGCTCTCATCTCACATTAGTCTCTACATCTCCCATTCAAGTGCCTGGCTATTATTTGGCTAAGTTCCAACAAATTCCCTCCACACCAGTGCCCCAAGACACTGCTCTTGCAATCTCTTCCAATGGAAACTTTGAAAAAACAGATGTGCAGCATCTTAAACATTAATCATATCATAGGGACACACAAACCCTCCAGTAGGTTAGGCACAAACTTATTTTGTACTGTGGAGGTAACTGCAAGGGGAAACCTATAGAGAAGCCTGCTTCAAGTACCTGTTGGGCTGTAATACTCTGCCTAACGTTTTGCTCAACCCAGTTGATCATGTGATTTTGCTCCATATTCCGCCTGAGATGCTGTATTGCCACATGATAATCCAGCCGCTTCTTCACTTCTGTGTATACAGTAAACAGCCTCTCTCTGTAGTTTGTCTCAAGCATTATAGCAACGTTGTTCTACAAAAGCAAGAAATGAAATCACTTTTCCATTGTGGGCACAACTTTGACTACAGTATTTCTGCAAAATGAACATGCGGTATGTGCACAAAATCTTGTATTTCTTCCGTTTAAATAATTTACAGATATAAATATAAAAAAAAATGTGAAGAACAGTTTAGAAAATACCTCTTATCTGCATCCTGCAAACACACATATAGTTAGTAAATTTAGACCTTAACCACTAGCTTTTTCCATCTTATTTGCAATACTTATTTTTATAACACTTAACATAAGGAAAGTTCCACAAAAAGTTTTTCCCACAAGACCATATAGCCAGCCTGTTACTATAATAGGGCCAAGCGGAATATACTATACCAGCATGCCTTTAACTCTATGTAATATATTTTCCCCAATAGCCTCTAGTCATATATAGAGTCTGGTACCACTTATATTTGAATTTTTGTATGATTCTTCAGATCAGATTAGAGCACAACTGTCTGACATTATTTAAGATCCAGTTCCACAAACAGCAAGGAAATACATGTCCTAAATGTTTTCCAGTTTTTTTGTACTAATAATGTTTATCAATCAATCCCCAGATAGATATTTTTGAATTATTTCTTAACCACAGTACATGGACAGTACTTCATCTTCGAAACCCTAAGCTACCTAAAAATGCAAAATAAAAAGCATGTTGTATCTAGAAATACTGGTTTAGGGTAGGGGATTAAAAGGTGCAGCACCATCCATTTTCTCTAATACATTTTCAAACAATAATTTAATTCTGACTGGAGTGTTATCCTATAAACATGAATGTGTAATTTATATTTGATTTCATATATTCCTTTTTGTTTGAAGATTTAAGTCACTTAGTTTTCTACTGAAATATGTAACTTTTAACTAACTAAATGAGATAGGTATCTCTACATAGAAGTCCCATTAAATTCAATGGAACTTGCTCCCTTGTGATTGTGCATATGATTGCCAACACAAGTCACTGATCCTGATTCACAAAGGTTGAAATTCCATTTTTTGTTGACAGCGCTAAATGTTTTAATCATAAATCTCATCATCATGATATCCTGATGTTAACAGCATATGTTATAGCTAATTTAGTCGAACAAATTATTACAAATTTCTAGTGATACTGCAATTACCATCTCTTTTTCATATTGGGCAGAGATATATTTTAAAGGCACTTAGAATATGTCTGTTCAGAACTCCAGAACTGCTACCATAGGATGGAGCAAGCTAGTTTTCTCTTGCTGCAGAGGGTAAGACCCAAACCAATTACTTCAAGAAAGGAGATTCCAACTAAACATCAGGAAGAACTTGATGACAGCAACAGCTGTTTGACAGTGGAACAGACTCCCACAACACGTGGTGGACTCCCCTTCCTTGGAGGCTTTTAAGCAGAGGTTGGGTGGCGAACTGTCATGGATGCTTTAGCTGAGATTCCTGCATTGCAGGGGGTTGGATTTGATGACCCTTGGGTCCCCCTGCAACTCTACAATTCTATAACTGACAGTAGCGAAGCAAAGCATCAGAGGCATGTTAAAGCTACTATTACATTTTTAAAAGTTTGCTATTTAAACATTGTACAGGAACTACTTCTTCGATAACAGTGGGTGACAACCAACTGCAGCACCCACTCACACAACACCCATGCCACTAGTAGGAGCCTAATTCTTGCTATACTGCAGCAGCCAAATTCAAAGAACGGCTTGCATTAG